CTGATTTTTCTCTAATTTTCCTCTATTTTTTTCCTGATTTTTTTCTGATTTTTTTCCCATTTTTTCTGATTTTATTCTGATTTTTTTCTGATTTTTTTCTGGTTTTTTTTCTGATTTTTTTCTCATTTTTTTCTCATTTTTTTCCTGATTTTTTCGGATTTTTTTCTGATTTTTTCCCTATTTTTTCCCCATTTTTCCTGATTTTTTTCTGATTTTTTTCCCCATTTTTTCTGATTTTTTTTCCTATTTTTTCCTCATTTTTCTCTAATTTTTCTCGATTTTTTTCTGATTTTTTTATTGATTTTTCTCCGATTTTTCTCCAATTTTTTTCTGATTTTTTTTCTTTTTTTCCTGATTTTTTCTGAATTTTTTCTGATTTTTTCCCCATTTTTTCTGATTTTTCTCTGATTTTTCTCTGATGTTTTTCTGATTTTTTTCTGATTTTTTTCCCAGTTTTTCCCATTTTTTTCTGATTTTTTTCCCCATTTTTTTCTGATTTTTCTCTGATCTTTTTCTGATTTTTTCCCATTTTTTTCTGTTTTTTTCTGATTTTTTTCCCCTTTTTTCCTGATTTTTTCCCCATTTTTTCTGATTTTTTTCTGATTTTTTTCTGATTTTTTTCCCATTTTTCTGATTTTTTTTCCCATTTTTTCCTCATTTTTCTCCAATTTTTCTCCAATTTTTTTCTGATTTTTTTTTATTTTTTTCTGAACCTTTCTGATTTTTTTCCCATTATTTTCCCATTTTTTTCCCATTATTTTCCCATTTTTTTCTGATTTTTCTCCAATTTTTTTCTGATTTTATTCTGATTTTTTTTCTCATTTTTTTCTCATTTTTTTCCTGATTTTTTCAGATTTTTTTCTGATTTTTTCCTGATTTTTCCCCATTTTTTCTGATTTTTTTCTGATTTTTTCTCAATTTTTTTCTGATTTTTTTCCCATTTTTTTCCCATTTTTTTCGGATTTTTTTCCAATTTTTTTCTCATTTTTTATGATTATTTTCTGATTTTTTTCCTCATTTTTCTCCAATTTTTCCTGATTTTTTTCCTGGTTTTTTTCCCCATTTTTTCTGATTTTTTTCCCAATTTTTCTCTCATTTATTTTGATTTTTTTCCTGAATTTTTCCCATTTTTTGTGCTGATTTTTGGGCTGAAATTCCCATTTTTTGGGTCCATTTTTGGGCTGAAATTCCCATTTTTTGGGTCCATTTTTGTGCTGATTTTCCCCACTTTTTGAGTTGATTTTGGGTTGAATTTCCCCATTTTTGGTCAATTTTTCTGCTGATTTTTGGGCTGAATTTCTCATTTTTTGGGTCCATTTTTGTGCTGATTTTCTCTATTTTTTGGGTCCAATTTCCCCATTTTTTTAATCAATTTTTGTGCTGATTTTTGGGCTGAAATTCTCATTTTTTGGCTCCATTTTTGTGCTGATTTCCCCCATTTTTTGGGCTGAAATTCTCATTTTTTGGGTCTAATTTTCCCATTTTTTCTCTCCAATTCCCCCATTTTTCCCTCCATTCCTCCACCGATTTTTCCCCTTAAATTCTCATTTTCCCCCTTTATTTTTCCCTCTAAAAATCCTCTTTTTTTTTCTTTCTAAACCCATTTTTTTTTTATTTTTTCTCCTCCCCAGCTTTGCCTACATCGAATTTTCAGACAAAGAATCCGTGAGGACGTCGATGGCTCTGGACGAGTCCCTGTTCAGGGGGAGGCAGATCAAGGTGAGCCCAAAAAATTCCCAAAATTCCACAAAATTCCCAAAATTCCTTCAGTTCCCATCATCCCCCACCATTTCCCCTCTTTTTTTTTGGAGTTTTTCACATTTTTTTCTGATTTTTTGTGATTTTTTTCTGATTTTTTTCTGATTTTTTCTTGATTTTTTTGGATTTTTTTTGGATTTTTTTTCTGATTTTTCCCCCATTTTTTCCTGATTTTTCCTGATTTTTTCTTGATTTTTTTCTGATTTTTTCCTGATTTTTTCGTGATTTTTTTTCTGATTTTTTCCTGATTTTTTTCTGAATTTTTTCTGAATTTTTCCTGATTTTTTTGTGATTTTTTGTGATTTTTTTCCTGATTTTTTTCCTGATTTTTTTCTGATTTTTTCCTGATTTTTTTCCTGATTTTTTTCTGATTTTTTCGGATTTTTTTTTATTTTTTTCGGATTTTTTGTGATTTTTTTCCTGATTTTTTCTGATTTTTTTCGGATTTTTTTCTGATTTTTTCTTGATTTTTTTCTGTTTTTTTCGGATTTTTTTTGGATTTTTTTTCTGATTTTTTTCTGATTTTTTCCTGATTTTTTCTGATTTTTCCCTGATTTTTTGTTATTTTTTTTCCTGATTTTTTTGTGATTTTTTCCTGATTTTTTCGTGATTTTTTCGTGATTTTTTTTCTGAATTTTTCTTGATTTTTCCCTGATTTTTTGTGATTTTTTCCTGATTTTTTTCTGAATTTTTCCTGATTTTTTTCCTGATTTTTTGTGATTTTTTTTCTGATTTTTTTCTGATTTTTCCTGATTTTTTCTGATTTTTTCCTGATTTTTTCGTGATTTTTTTCTTGATTTTTTTTCTGATTTTTTGTGATTTTTTTTCTGATTTTTTTTGTGATTTCTTTGTGATTTTTTTCTAATTTTTTTCTGATTTTTTTTCTGATTTTTCCCTGATTTTTCGTGATTTTTTTCTGATTTTTTCCTGCTTTTTGTGATTTTTTCCTGATTTTTGGTGATTTTTTTCTGATTTTTTCCTGATTTTTTTCGGATTTTTTCGGATTTTTTTCGGATTTTTTTTGGATTTTTTTTTCTGTTTTTTTTCCTGATTTTTTTTGTGATTTTTTTGTGATTTTTTTTCTAATTTTTTTCTAATTTTTTCTTGATTTTTCCCTCATTTTTTGGTGATTTTTTCCTGAATTTTTTCTGATTTCTTCTGATTTTTTTCTTGATTTTTTCTTGGTTTTTTTCTTGATTTTTTTCTGATTTTTGGTGATTTTTTTCCTGATTTTTTCTTGATTTTTCCGTGATTTTTTGGTGATTTTTTGGTGATTTTTTCCTGAATTTTTCCTCATTTTTTCTGATTTTTTTCTTGATTTTTTCCTGAGTTTTTCTGGATTTTTTCTGATTCTTTTCTGATTTTTTTCTTGATTTTTTTCTGATTTTTCCCCCATTTTTTCCTGATTTTTTTCTGATTTTTTTCTGAATTTTTCCTGATTTTTTGTGATTTTTTCTGTTTTTTTCCTGATTTTTTCTGTTTTTTTCCTGATTTTTTCTTGATTTTTTCCTGATTTTGGGGGATTTTTTTTCTGATTTTTTGTGATTTTTTTCTGATTTTTTCTTGATTTTTTTTCTGGTTTTTTTTTTATTTTTTCTGATTTTTTTCTTGATTTTTTCTGATTTTTCTCTTGAGTTTTTTCTCTTTTTTTTTTCTCATTTTTCCCCATTTTTTCCTGATTTTTTGTGATTTTTTTCTGATTTTTTGGAATTTTTTTTCCTGATTTTTCCTCCATTTTTCCTCTTTTTTTCCCCCAATTTTTCCTGATTTTTTGGGGTTTTTTTCCACCGATTTTCACCAAATTTTCACCATTTTTTCCCAAATTTTCACCAGTTTTTTTCCCAAAATCTCCTTTTTTCTCCCCAAAACCACATAATCCCAAAATCAGACAAATTTAATTCCCAAATTTTATTTTTTTTTCCTCTTTTTCTTTCATATTTCCGCCATTTTTTCACCGATTTCCGCCATTTTTTCACCGATTTCCGCCATTTTTTCACCGATTTTCACCAAATTTTCACCAGTTTTTTTCCCAAAATCTCCTTTTTTCTCCCCAAAACCAGGTGACCCCCAAGAGCACAAATTTAATTTCCAAATTTTATTTTTTTCTCCCATTTTTCCTTTTATTTCCACCATTTTTTGTCGTATTTCCGCCATTTTTTGTCGTATT